TGCACATATACGGTTGCTATTGGAAACAGAGGCTTGGCAGAGCTCTGGCGGGTGTAAAGTGATCTCGGCCGCTCCAGTTTAAAGCACATAAATCCAGGGCGAGACCTTCACTGTCAAACATCAAAACTAAAATCAATACTGCTTTCATTTCTATCCACCTTATTTTGAACATACGAGCGGGTTTCCGATATCATTAGATTCCAGTTCATTAAGATGTACAAAAACAGCATGATATTGCAAACTGGTATATAATTTTATTATATTTCTTCTAATTATTTACCTATAGGGGCTAATGAATCAAAGTCTCATGCATTCACAGAAAAAAAGCACTTTTTGTTGCATAATAAAGTGGATTATTTTCTGTTTATATGTAGTAGAGGAATTGTGCTCATTGTAAATAGTGGAAATCATTTTTTTTCCCTATTAAATATTTAGATAATCAAGAGTGTTGCATTTAAAAGTCTCATTAAATGTTCTGCAGAATGACCATCAAAGGAGTTAGAAGCCGTCGAGCACTTTTTTTTTCCAAAGGCAGGCGAAAGTCTCTAAGGTCTGCACGGGGACACTTTGGCAGTGTGTTTGCTTATCAGCAACATGAAGCAGCTTTTCTAATGCTGTCAGCTGTCATGCGTGTTACTCACAGCTTGTCTTTGCGGGTTCACAGCTGTGGAGAGGCCCATATTGCATCTAGAGCAAAACGAGAAAAGAAAAAGTGAGACCGGAAGAAGCATGGAAACACAAAATTGGCATAGAAATGAGCAATGTCATCTAAGAAAACTGAAGAGAATGATATGTGAAGTGAGTTTCAGTTCTGATAGCAATGGAAATAAACTTGCACAATGAAGAAGCATGTGACATGTATGTGCAAGAGATTCAATTTGTTCTTGAGATCTGTACATGGTTGAATAAGTGTGCATGTCTGAGAGCATTTATAGTCGAACAGTGCCCTCTTTTGGTTTGAAGAAACAACATGTTGAAGAACAGGACAATCGGCTCATTGATCACAAACATCTGCTGCCCTCTGCTGTCAGGATCTAATGCACTTTACTCTGCAAATACTGATGTGCGAAATAAAAAGTTTTTATTTATTTGTGAAATAGCAATCATATCAAACTAAATCACATTGAGGACATTGTTTATATTACTGCGAAGACAAACATCACTATTACGCCTTTCCCATATTTGACTATATTAATGTTTAAAGTAATATTATTAGTTCACCCAAAAATGAAAATTCACAATTTACTCATCCAGACCTGTATCTCTGCAAAACACAATATATATTTTGAAGAACACTTGAGTCCAAGCAACACTGGACCCCATTGACACTGAGGGGACAATAATTAGAAATGGCCAAATTGTCCCTCGACATTGTCCCTTGTATTTGACAAAAAGTTTTAATAATATGTACATTTTTAGGCTGGTCTGCCTCAGCGGTCTACGTGTTTAAATGATTGAGATGACCAATCCAATCAAACAAGGTGGGCTTTACTGTTTAATGGGGAGCATCTGTTTTTAACAGTGAAAAAGGGTGTGAGGTAAGATGTGAATACCTAAACAATTTGACAACTTTTACGATATAAATGTTAGACAGTAGTAGCCTATACAGGGATGCAAACTACTTACCCCTTATTTGTTTATTTATTTATTGTCAAATTTTGTTGTTTTGAATTGAAAATATATGCTGCCATTTACATGATTGATATAATTCATAATTGACAAGACGATAAGTCTTTTTCCTTTTTGCTTTTCTTAACAGATTAAGCAAACGAATAATAGTCATTGCACTGGGCATCCTCCTTTTGTCAGATTTCTTGATTGATTGATTTACATGATAGTGCTGTAAGCTTTCTGTATATGTTTATCTGCTACACTTTATATAATTCCATGCATTTTAAAATTACATATAAACATCTGCATAACATATAACATCCACCAGGACAAGGAAGACTTGATTAAGACATTAATATAAATTGGGGGGCCCTGGAGGGCCGGTGTCCTGCAGAGTTTAGCTCCAACCTGCCTCAACACACCTGCCTGGAAGTTTCTAGTATGCCTAGTAGTGATGGGACGATTGATACCGAGGCTCCGACGCAGTTTTCAAAGCACTATTGTATCACACACTGTGCCGATGCTTGTATCGAAATGATAATACCACGTGATTGATGACGTTTGAAGCTTCGAACGTCATGTAGTATCGGAAGGTCGGGACAGCTTTGAAAAAAATCGGCGCTTCGCATGACTCTTGTGTTTGATTTTACATTGACTTGGTTGTGTGTGTGTACACTTATTTGGGATTCAGTAGAATAGTTTAGAATAACCTCAACACCAGACAGACACTGAACGCACGTCACACCTCTATTGCATTGTATCATGTTCTAGCTGGGGTCTCAGAGACCCCGAACAGCTCACCCAAAATATTTTTGCTACTACTCACGTCAATTATTAATTATAATCACACACTTGTATATTTTATATTATTGATCAATATGTGAATC